CGGTGGGCAACGACGTTCAAGCGGATATCCTTACCTTGAGGTCACTGTGGTAGCACTCGAAAGGGTCCTTCTTGACTACTCTCAGGAGCAAGTGGAGGCTATACTCGAACTCGAAGCCACTCGTATCGAGTGGTACCGCGCAAACGGCTTCGAGCTCTGCTGGAACAATAACGAGCTGAGCTATGAGTAGAGGACACTGAGAATCAGGTACGAGGATGCTACGCGTCTCGCTGAGCTTGGGGAACAAAGCTATTCCTCACACATGTGGCTTATCGGCTGCATACACATTGGTACAATGTGCTGGAGGCTTTAGAATGGCAAGTCTCTGGAAGTAACGATGGAGTCAATGAAAGGCTACGACCGATGTTTTGATGTATGCCCAAGGGAGTTCGGTCTTCACAGGCGGACCGTTCGCAAGATTAGTCGGTGTTTATCCGCCCGATATTTGCGACGATCTCAGTATATTATACTTGCGACTTCTCTCATTCGCGACGATCTCAGCTACGGTTCCTTCCAGGATGCAGGTGGCGGCGAAAAACATAGAAACCCAGATTGCTCGCAATTACCAAATGATCTAGGAAGATCTCGAATGCAGATGACATGCTCTAGAGACCAATACTACGTTGGTATCGGAAGGTGCTCGTATGTGCCTTGCATGAACTGTGGCCGAGGCAGTGGTCCGGTTATAACGCCAACCCAAGTGGGCGGCCCTAGCCCGGTGCTAACGAGCGCGCACAGAACAGGATCCACACGTCACAACCTGTCACAACCACTCAAGTGGGGTCATCGGCCATGTTATCGCAACGCCACGGCCAAAACAAGAAGGAGGTTATCCGGCACACAAGCCTTGTCAAGACCCCCAGTCCGAGGCTTGTCTTCCTTAGCCCCTTGCTTGGACACTGTCGGTTCCATTCAACGCATCGCGTATGCGCACCACGACGTGAGCGACAATCGCAATCTAAACTCCATGGGGTAGGTCGGTAATAACACGACTATCATGCAGGGACTGAGGTCGACCGTGGGTGCGGTATAAAACTACAATGCAGTCCGCTGTTCGTTGTCTCTTCATCCGCATTCGCTTCGGACTACCTTCGCTCAAGGAAACCGGTTGTGGCAAAGATGGCTCCTGTGCTTTCATTCATCGTTGGCTCGCTGTTGGCGGTAAGGGCTTTCGCCGAGCCGTTTGAGAAGCTCTTCGAAGTTCCAGAGGGTGGGTTGTATGCCGTAACAAGTTTGGATCTGTGCTAATGATCGACAGGATGGAAGCTTCAAGGCCCAGCATCCGATGCACACACGCTCAAGCTCCAGATCGCGCTCACCCAAGGCGATACCGCGGGCTTTGAGCAGACCGTCATGGACATCTCCACCCCGTCCAACCCAAAGTACGGCCAGCACTACGAGTCGCACGAGGAGATGAAGCGCATGCTTATGCCCAGCGAGGAGACTGTTTCGTCCGTCTCTTCGTGGCTCAAGTCTGCCGGTATCGAGAAGTTTGAGACCGATGCCGACTGGGTGACCTTCAGGACCACCGTCGGTGTTGCCAACGAGCTCCTCGGAACGAAGTTCTCTTGGTTCGTTAGCGAGGAGAGCACACCCCGCAAGGTCCTCCGCACCCTTGAGTACTCCGTGCCTGATGAGATTGCCGACCACATCAACCTCGTTCAGCCGACTACTCGCTTCGCTGCCATCCGCGCGAACCACGAGACTGAGCGTGAGATCTTCGGTATCCAGCTCGCTTCTTCCCCCAACATCACTGTCAACTGTGATGCTTCTATCACTCCCCAGTGCTTGAAGCAGCTTTACAAGATTGACTACACTCCCGACCCCAAGAGTGGCAGCAAGGCAGCTTTCGCTTCCTACCTCGAGGAGTACGCTCGCTATAGCGACCTTGCCCTCTTCGAGAAGAACATCCTCCCCGAGGCCATTGGCCAGAACTTCTCCGTCGTGCAGTTCAACGGTGGTCTGAACGACCAAAACTCCAGCGACGACAGTGGCGAGGCCAACTTGGACTTGCAGTACATGCTCGGTCTTGCCCAGCCCCTGCCCGTCACTGAGTACAGCACCGGCGGCCGTGGCCCCTGGGTCGCTGATCTCGACCAGCCCGATGAGGCCGACAGTGCCAACGAGCCCTACCTCGAGTTCCTCCAGAGCGTGCTCAAGCTTAAGCAGAAGGATCTTCCCCAGGTCATCTCCACCTCCTACGGCGAGAACGAGCAGAGCGTGCCCAAGTCATACGCCCTCAGCGTCTGCAACCTCTTCGCCCAGCTCGGTAGCCGTGGTGTCTCCGTCATCTTCTCTTCCGGTGACTCTGGTACCGGCTCTGCCTGCCTTTCCAACGACGGCAAGAACACGACCAAGTTCCAGCCCCAGGTAAGTTCTGACTGTACGGAGTGCATGTAAGACATATACTAATTTCGTACCAGTATCCCGCTGCCTGCCCGTTTGTCACCTCTGTTGGTTCTACTCGCTACCTCAACGAGACTGCTACTTTCTTCTCCTCCGGTGGTTTCTCCGACTACTGGAAGCGTCCCTCGTACCAGGACGATGCTGTAAAGGCATACTTCCACCAGCTCGGCCAGAAGAACAAGCCCTACTTCAACCGTCACGGACGTGGATTCCCTGACGTTTCTGCCCAGGGTTTCGGTAAGCAAAACTCCTTTCCGAACTATATGCAAGAAAATTACTAACACACATCTCCAGGTTACCGCGTCTACGACAAAGGCTCTCTCAAGGGCTACCAAGGAACTTCCTGCTCCGCCCCCGCCTTCGGTGGCATTGTCGCTCTTCTCAACGACGCCCGCCTACGAGCCAAGAAGCCCGCTCTTGGTTTCCTGAACCCCCTGCTGTACTCCAACCCCGATGCGCTCAACGACATCGTTCTTGGTGGCAGCACTGGATGCGATGGCCATGCCCGCTTCAACGGCAAGCCCAACGGCAGCCCGGTTATCCCGTATGCTAGCTGGAACGCTACTGCGGGATGGGACCCGGTTTCTGGTCTCGGCACACCGAACTTCCCCAAGCTGCTCAAGGCTGCTATGCCGGCTAGGTATAAGGCTTAGATGAGCGGATGGGATGTTCTAAAGGATACTCGATAGATATAGAATTGGACATAATCTAATTGAAGCATTGAAGAACAACTGCATTGACCAATCTTGGAGACCGGAGTGATGGACTGGTAATATGAGCTCCTCGCCCTGTCATGATGAAGCTAGAGGATACTGGCAAACCCTTCTATACAAGATCTTCGCTTACGCCCATCTTACCATTACTATGTGACGAGCCCTCAAATCTGCAGGGTCATTCGTCCATCGTATCGGTGTTCTCGTCGTGGAGGCACCTGCTAGGCTGGAGAAGGCGGGTGCGATTACATAAGCGGGTACGCACGAGCCATCTCAGCCGCCGGATGACGTAGAAGCTTCGAGAAACATCGCGAAGCTTCACGCGTCTTCCTGACAAACCTCGAAGCATCACCAATCGTCGCGCATCGTCTACACTCTTCCAGCATCGTCCTCTGTCTTACGGAATCTGCATTGCTCATCACTGCGCACGCAATCGGCTGCTGCCTGCGACGCCTCCATAATGGCTATAAATCCATGTCTTCCTGCTCTCCAAGAGCCCATCATCAATTCGAAAGACAAACACATCTACAGATCTACGATCTACACCTACTCTTGAGCTCCCCTACTCTACACTATTCTCTTCATCGACCAACAAGCCTCGCTTCTCGAACTAAGTACCCCAGCAATGGCGTTCATCCTCACTCCACGAATGGCACCCGCCTACGAGGCACAGCAGTGCAACCCCTTCGGCTTCTGCGCTCCAGTATCACGACCCGCCCACGGCTACCGCGTCTCCCGTCCTCAGCCTCGCCGCCCACAATACTCGCCCTACAACAACTTCTTCAGCCAGGTCGATGAGCTCTTGAGCGAGATCGACCGCGAAGCACAACGCGAGGCTCAGCGCAAGGCGCAGATCGAGGCCCACCGAGAGGCACTACGCGAAGCTTATCGCCAGCGCCAGCTGCAGCGCAAGCGCGCACTTCGAGCCGACTTCCAAGTCAACCAGATCGAGCAGGGATGGCAGGTAGATGGAGACATCCAGGGCTTCGAACAGGACAACATCAACATTGAGGTCATCGATGAGCATACACTGAAGATCGCCGGCAACACCCAGTGGCAGTCGGAGAAGTCGCAATCTCAGCCACAGCTACCTCAGATCGAAGCCCAGCCCACACCAGCCCCCAGCGACGAGCAGCCCACCGCTACACAGTCGGAGCCAGAAGTCGAGACCACCACTGAGACCGAGGCACCTACCACTCGCGCCGCTACACCCGACAGCGACACCTCATCGCACAAGTCATACCAACCCACCGTCGAGGACGACTTCGAAGACCTCGCCGCCGACTTCCCTTCTTCTCGACCTTCATCTCCCACCGAGCCCCGCGAACTCAAGGGCAAGGAGAAGGTCGTCGATGAGCCTAAGAACACCGAGACCGCTGTGGTAACCCAGCCACAACCCGAGGTGCCGGTCCAGCAACCTCAGCAGCAGCCCCAAGAGCAGCCTCAGCAACAAGAACGCGTCCACGGATCTTTCGAGCGCACCTTCAGGTTCCCTGAACGCATCGATGTCGCCAATGTGAGCGCTAGCTTCAAGGACGGTGCGCTCAAAGTGGCTGTTCCTAGGGCGCAGGTGATGCAGGTTAGGAGGATCGCTATCCTATAAATGGAGGACAATATGAGGGAGGAGGAGTAATGGCAGAGAAGCGCATGGAATGAAGACATGGATAGCATATGCATGGACTGAATCAGGAATGGGTTTGTAAGATATTTGCACACGGTGCTTAGACATCGGTTATGAATCAACGATTGTTTAACTCAAACTTCTTTCTCATATCTCTTGTCTTTCCGCTGTTGTACACTCATGCTGCTCACTCTATCCACCACCACACCCCCTTCCCAAGTCCTCGTCGCCCTTTCTCCCTTCTACGCAGTCAAACTGTCCTACAGCATCAAAGCAACAATCCCCAAAGCAGCGATCACAACGCCACCGGCCTCGCCGGCGCCGATAGCAACAGCTCCGCCCGTAGCAGTGGATGTTGCTTGCGTCTCTGTGCCGGTGGTCTTTGCCTCGGTCTTGGTGGACTCGGATGATGCGGACGCTGACATGGATGATGCCATGGAAGAGGCGATGGATGCGGCGGCGGATGTTGCGGAGGCGACGGGGTTACTGAGGGTGGGATGTTAGTACCTTTACAGGTTATGAAGACTACGAGGTAGGATATGGGCGGTGTTGCGTGTCGTGTATGTACGTCGAGGTTACTTACGTTTCCGCTGCGAATGCGAAGCCGGCGAGGGCGGGGAGGACGATGGTTGTGAAACGCATATCGTTGATTGGTGTTAGGTGTTTTTAAAGTCGTGTTTTTGCAGGTTTGGCTGTGATTTTTTGAGATCGGTATGTTTGTAGGTAAGCAAGAAGAAAGAAACATATGAACCTAAAGCCCAGTCACGCCCTTATGTACCCTACATCTGGTATCACTACCTTGTACAAGACCCCTGAGTTTACGTCGTACATCTCATCTCGACAACGAAACCGTCCTACCTCTCACGATCACTAGCATTTGGTGCGTATACCCTTCCATGTACCCAAGTAGGATTGTCTCGAGGTTCATAGGTACGTATCGAGGTACCAATTCCTATAGCCGTTTTGGTGGAACTCACTATGTGGTACAAAAGGTACTATCATGAGGACAGTATATGAATTCGCAAGCGTTGTGGCGGGTGATACCATGGAGCCGGGTGTAAATGTATTTGTCTTACGATGTGCGGATGGTATACGCGTTTTGGGTTGTTGGTACGCAGCTGCGGTTGATGAATGGATTCATTGTACTTACGACGTACCAGGCCGTGATAATGTCTGAGGAGGTTTATTGCGTGAGGCCCATGGATTGAGTGAGGGCATGGATTATCTGGCGGTATACGAGATGGTGCTAGTGGGTATTAGGACTAACGCCGGCAATCTCTCGCTCTTTCGCCATCCGGCAGGAGCTCCTGCCATCACTCTTCACATCTTCACTCTCAAAACAACTGATGCACTTCCATGCGATACATGTCAAGTCTCCTGCCGAGATGATGTTCGAACTGCGGCTTCGTATGAGATATTTAGCTCACCACTCCTTCCACCCATGGGGCGATCTCGTATCAGGCCGCCAGGTCTTGCAGGGCTGAGCGAGGGAGGTCCAGACAGGCATGCCACCCAGCCTCGGCCCGTCGACAACTTCTCACCTCGTTTATCTTCTCGTACTACTCCAGTAATCTCATTTAGGTGACATACACCATTACTTGGTGATGACCAACTCAGCAATCTACCCCCATGAACTTACAGGACGCACTATCCGCCTGCTCACTGTCGAGCCGGACGAACCCTCGGCCCCACTACGATGCACCTTATCAGAAACATGTCTGGAAACGACTCCGACTGTTTACCATGCGCTATCATACTGTTGGGGCGCAAACCATTCCCCCGTTCAGATTACGTGCAACTCGCATCCTCTCTCAGTAACGCCCAATCTGCATTCCGTATTACTCGAATACCGTCGCAGAGGAATTACGACACCTCTCTGGGTCGATGCTATATGCATCAATCAGTCTAACATTTCTGAACGGACATCTCAGGTTCGCATGATGGACAGAATCTACACCGAAGCGGAGTGTGTGGTCGTATGGTTGGGCGAAGCAGAGGCGACCGACGGGCTGGCGCTGAAGTGCTTAAAGAACATCAATGCACGTTGGACAGACTCGAAAGACTTTCCAATCCTGCCGACTGGTCAAGACGCGTTAGACTATGATGCATGGTTATCACCCAAGTTGCCACAGGAACAATTTGATGCATTGGCTGCATTCCTTCTACGGCCCTGGTTCAGCCGTATGTGGATGTACGTATCACATGATTCTCCTAGAAACTGTTTGGGTTTTAGGTTGTATTGACTTGTCCGCAGTATCCAGGAGCTTGTGCTCGCACGCCAAGTGACAATCTGGTGCGGGCCGGCTACGATGGATGAAGAGTTCCCAATCCTCGAGGCCATCGCGCGGTTGTCGCAAATGATAAATTGTGTGTATAGAACCCAAGAGGCCGTGAAGTCATTCAACGACAAAGATGCACGACGGGCAGGTAGATTCAAGCTATCGTGCGCGACAGCTTTGTTCTCCATCAAATATGGCAGAGAAAAAGCGTTGATCGGTACTCTGTATCTTTTCATGATGACCCGTTGGTTCGATGCGACGGATCCGCGAGACAAGGTTTTTGCGCTCGTTGGCCTGACAAGCGACCTCGACAAGAGCTTTGTGGACTACTCGAAAAGCTACGAAGACGTGATGAAGGAGCTGAATATCATGCTTCTGGATGGCGGGATCGAGCCCACTATGGGTAGCGTGTTCGACATCTGGTCATTACTCACAAGAGAAGAGGATGAGGAGATCACAGAGCCAAGCTGGGTGGTGGATTTGTTCAAGGCTCGGTACTCCATGTCCACGGCTATGGTCACAGGGTATCCTTCAATGGAGCCCGAGATTGAACGCAAGCCAGAGATACATTTTCCGACGGAAGATGGGGATGAGGTCAGCTGCACTTAAGCCCCAAGCTTCTCTCTGGACTAACATGATCGCTAGTCTCTCCACGTCTGCGGTACTGTTTTCGATACGATAACGCAGACGGCCCCATTTCCAAAATTCATGAGCGAGGTCGAATTACGCAACACCAACGATTTACAAAACATTTCCAGCTATCGCGAGTGGATCCTCCGCGTGGGAGCACTGATGCAACGACCCGACGACACTGATACTGACGGCATCTACCGGGCTACCGGCGAATCCCATTACGAAGCTTTCTGGCGCACACTATGCTGCAACCGCACCTCCTTCAGCGCATACGACCCACCCGAAGATGGAAGCGGCTACGACGCATATCTCGCCCATCTTCGCGTTCTCGAATTGCAACTCGGCTACGAACACACTAAATCGAAGGCTTGGTATCTCGGTATCGCTACAGCGTTCTCCTCAAGTCTGAGCTACTGTTTCCGGAGGCGGAACTGGTTTCTGCGATTCGCGGTACCACTCGCCGTTCCGCTCCTAGCTCACATGTACAACATCGCTTGGAGTAAAAACTGGGCTGTCCTTCAAGGCCAGCTACAATCTCATCAAAGAGACTTTGAGTCAATGCATATGCAATGGATACAGGGGCGACAGTTTGCCATCACGAAAATGGGGTTGATTGGGTTGGTGCCGATCTCGGCCAGGGTAGGAGATAGTGTTGGCTTCTTCGCAGGGTGCAGAATACCGTATGTGTTAAGAAGACGTGGTGAAGGGTACGCTCTCGTCGGTGATTCGTATCTGCATGGAGTTATGAATGGAGAGGGAGAGCTGAAGGAGACCGAAATGTTAAAGATAGCGTGAAATGGCTCTCGCTTCGAACACGCAGATTGAAGAGTCACGGCTAGAAGTAGCGCAAGTTCGTTCGAAATGTGATTACATTACATTACATTACTAGATTATATATGAGATACTGGGTTTCAGTGTGTGGTAGAATGTTGAAAAGGGAAGATGAAGCTCGAGGGAGCTGTAATGACGGAGTATGTCTATGCCTTAGATTAGACCTCAGAGCACACATGCCACTCCCATCCAGTCTTCTTGCAGCATTCGACGCGATCGAAGTCCTTGGCCGAGACGCTACCGGCGCCAGTAGTATCGAAAGTAATCTCCTGGCCTTCGTGGACGTTGGTGGATCCCGGCTGGGCGAAAACGACGTTCTTGTCAGGTCCAGCGACGGAAATGGTACGCCTGGGGGTAACCTGGCCCCAAGTATCGTAGATCTTGCTGGTGAGGATACCGGGCTTAGCCTCGTCGAAGCTGGCAGTGATATGGAAGCGCTCATGGCCCCAGTAGTAAGAGCCAGTGAACCACGAGAAATGGATTTTGCGAGAGCCCATGTCACCGTCGACACGGTAGAAGAGACCTTGGTTCCAACCCGGGCCGTAGACGTACAGTTCGTCGGCGAAAGCATTGAACTGGTAGGAACCTACGCTGATGACACCCCTGACGCTGATGGCAATCTGAGTGGTTGATGTTTCGAAGACCTTGACCGGGAAAGGCAGGTTGAGGGTGAATTGTTGTTGCCAGTAGCGGCCGTCGGAAGGTCCGGGAACCATGGGCACACCTTCCGATGGGTCACCACCTACGATCTTAGTGTACGAAGGCGCTGTTGGTCTCGGCACGGGAATGGTGCAGGTGCTTTGGACGACAACGACCGTTTGGAAGTTCTTGGTCTCAGTCGCCAAGGGGGTCGCGGCAGTTGTGGTGATTGTTTGGGTTGTAGTGGAAGTGCCGGTGGCGACCTGAGAGCAAGCCGCGGAGATCTTGCTAGTGGGCCAGGCTGCGATGGAGGCAGGAATCGTGAGATCACGCTTCTCGACTGCCCTGTTGAGCTCCGCTGCCATGGTTTCGTTGAGCTTCGGGATGCTTGCGTCATCCTCGTGCGAGAAAGTCTTGACGTCCACGATGGCGATCTCGTAAGGGTCGACAACGACGTCGTTGGTCACTTCGGTGCTGTTATCCGCACGTCTGGCGTGTCTGCCGTTGAACTTGGCTGCAGTAACGATGGCGACTCCAGAGGTGGAGGTGCTCGTAACTGTCCTTGTGATGGTAGCAGTCTGGGGAGCTGGTGTAATGATTGCGGTTGTGGTTGCGGTTGTAGTCGGCTGGGCGTAGCCGATGTAGCTGCTGCAGAACTCGTCGCCGCTTGACTTGAGATAAGAAATGTCACTGGGGCAGACGGGTACACCAGCATCGCTCTCATCCGTGAAACCAAAGCTGTACTGGATAGTGTAGTGATCGTCGCCGCGGTATTGTCCATCGTTCGTGGCGAAAGAAGCATCCCACTCCTGAGTGTACATGGAGCAGTATTGACCCTGCGAAACACCGTTCTTGAGCAGAATGTAGGTGTTGAAGTAGCGGCACAACTGCGGCTTGCCATCGGCAGGTAGGTGTTCAGTTGCCCATTTGTTCTGCTCCTTGCAGGCAGCTGCACAGAGCTTGGCATCGAATGCGGGCTGAACGAAGAGCTTGTAGCCCATGTAAGAGCCTTGCTTGTTGCAGTCGAGAGGAGAGTTGATCGCACTGTTCTTGAGCTCGACCTGCTTGTAGCCCTCAGCAGACTGTGTCGTGAGAGACGAGTAGCCGTTGCTTCCAGCGATGGCGACTTCAAACTGTTCTCGCCACTGGCCGTTGTTGTTGGCAGTGTCGGTGTAGACTGGTCCGCCCCAGAACGAGCACTTGATGTTGGCAACAGCTTCGGGGTCTCGGCAGTCAGGTCCTGGGTTTGCCGAAGGGTCGCGCTCGACATAGATGTTGAAGCCGAGACATCCATCCTTGGAGTTACACTCAGATGCGCAGTGAGAAGGGTCGTAGCTCTCGACTACTTTGTAGCCAAGATATCCGTAGGCACTGCTAGCACCCTGCAAGTTTGTGAAGGTGTTGAAGTATCCGGATGGTGTGGAAGCACCCTTGGCTACAGATGCGATCTTGGAGTCGGCGCGGAACTTGCTGGCAGATGACAGGTCGAAGCCATAAGTGTTGGGGTTGCTGGGCTCAGGGTCGCAGGCCCCACGCCTCAGATGCTTCTTGACCTCCGGTACGGCTGAAGGCTCAGACACAGGCTTGACATCGAGAGGATCAGCGACAACCTCGGAGACGACATCCGCAATAGCCTCAGTTACTTCGAAAGGAACTGCTTGTTCCTTCAAGCCGGGAATGATGTTGATGACTGGGTCTGTCTCTAGTTAGTATGATACCAGTCTTTCATCGGAAGAGATCATACCAGGCGTAGCATCAACTCCAGCGAAGTCGATGTCTTGAGCTCCGACCACGGCAAAGGCCGCAACGGCAGAAAAAACGTATGAATACCTCATTATTAAAGAAAGTGGGTTGCTCGAGCGTAAAGAGTGACTGAGCGGGTGGGTGAATGAGTGAAGAGGCCGCTGTTGCTGCTGGCTCTACTTCCTGTGTCTTTATGGATCTTTATATGTTCATGATGAAGCCTTGCAAGAGTTCGTCCTGACTACGATCCAAACAAGTTTACGCCATGGAGGGCGGAGTCACCGCAGCTGAAGCATGCAAACATCATGGCTTTCTCGAGGCGTAGCTGAGTGAACCGAGCAAAATCGTGCCACATATCGAAATAGGCTGCTTGAGTACCACAAGAAGGTAAGTCCTGACGAGCCACTTGACTCGTTCAGTCCCAACCTCGCGTAGTTTTGGTGGTTCTCAAGCCACACGTCGAGAAACATACCACTCCTGCTGCCGACGTTGAGGGGCGCCCTTGAGTTTTCGATCTAGCCCTGTATCTTGCAGAGCCTCGCAGTCCAGAACATGCACGTGGGATGCCGTGCGCGCTGCCGGCTCGTGGGGGATGTGAGGATAGAAGCTCGCGTGCGAGTGAGACCCGCAATGCCCCTGACGCGGGAAGCACTAGCGTCCCGTCGCCTTGGCACAGCGTCTTGGCACCTGGCAGCAATTCTCGTCGAAGCCGAACATCAAAACAATACCCGCAAAGAACAAAGATCTCTCAGTCGACAGCGAAAGACACCTGGTCACCCCTTGCAGTTGACGCCTTTCAGTAGGCAATGTCTAACAACTGGACTTGCGGCACTAGCATGGGCAGCATGCACTCCCGAGGTCATTTAGGGTGAGACTCCGTGAAGGTGCAGCTAACTCAACACTCAATCATGAAGTCTGCTTTAGCTTGAAGAGAAGCAATGGTACTATTTCGAATCCGACAACTTTAGCTCTTGGCGTGATCTCCACGTACCCAAATCGATATCCGGCGGCGGCTCGCTAACGATCGTGGAAATTTGCCCCTGCCTCAAGGTTCCGTAGCTTGCGCAGGGTTCGGAAGTTCCTCCATCTCCTTACCTTCCCACCCAGCAACCCGTCAACAAACCTGGGGAGTCGCTCTACTGCCCTGCTCTTTACTCTGGAGACCATTGCGACCTTTGGAATACCTACTCGGCCATGCGAACTTTGAGAAGGTTCCAGTAGTCCCGCTGCGCTCGTCTGAAGTAGCATGCTCCCTCACGAGCGATCAAGGCCAGTCAGTCCGGAGTAAGCAGCCGTGTGAAAGCGACGCCTGCTCATCATATACTGTTCGCGCTTCTTCCAGGTCACCGTCTGATATCTGGGCGTTGTTCAATCGCAGGTCGCCGCATCATGACCGGCACGCCCATAGCATCCTCCCGAGGTCGACCGGCGACAAGATGGAAAGCCTGGTCGCCCTAAGTATCCTACGAAGACCTCGTATCGCATCGCATCGCATCGACCTTATATGGCCATTTCGAAAGTGTCATTCGTGTGTCCTGTCTCGGCGTTCTTCGAGTGAAACGGCGCGCTAGAGCTAAAACTTCGACCCGAGCCCATCGTAGGCTGTTACAGCGACTCTGAAACTGCTCATCAAAGGCAGGGCGATACTAAGAAAGCCATCAGCGCTTCGCATGTTCTGCATCAGGCCATGGAATGCGCATTGTGGCGGAGATGTCAACGTCTCGCCATAAGCTCACACTTTGTCTGAATCGTCACGGATAACGGCACCACTAGCAAGCATGCGCAGTATGCTCGAGGTCGCTACAGTCTTCTCTTCAAACTCGACACCGAGCACAGGGACCCTTCTACTATCGGAATATTTGCATCGGCAACTGGCCAACTCAAAATCTACAGACTTCCTGCACGCGCTCAGACGACCTCTGGTAGCGCCAACGCACGATATGAAAGAGCTTTCTCACTATTGAATGCCGGCGGTTTATCAAAATTACCTGGGGTAAATCCCAATAAACGTCAGCTTGTCTATACACTAGTTGATAGTCGCTGTACTGTAAAGGAGGTACTGTTCACCCAGGGAATGTCATTTTACGTTTGGCTGTGGGCGGGTGATCAGCCTAAGCGTACAACGCCAGTCCTGTGCACCGGAACCAAACTTTCGTAAGACCAGGATTGGCCTGAGGCACGTCGCACTCCAACGCAACTGGATTACACATGTGGAAATAGGTCGGTAGTACAAAGTTTTGCGATTCCAACAACTGACCTTGCGCAGGCGATCGACGCGATAGCAGCGCATCAAGAGCTCTTTACCTTCCTGGAGGGAGGCAGTGTTGCAATCTCTCCCAGGAATCCGGCATCACTTGCCACGCGTCGCGTTCAAGCGCGTCCACAGGAGCAATCTGTATACGACCTCCGCGGACTGAAGCTTCGTGTTTCGCGACGAATCCTCCGTCATACCTGCGCACTGCAGCATCCCACTCCACGCTTGTGCACCCAACACTGGAATTTTGACAAGCATCTTTGCGCAACTATCGCTTTGACATTGATTAACATCTTCTCCTGAAGCCGCCACTAGGGGGCGAAGCACGCGTCTGGGTAGTACTATGGAGCGACCAACGTTTCGAACGACCTGTCAAAACATTGGCCGTGCCTGACTACTGGCTCCACGCTTGGCAACGCTCGAAATTCAATGCACACCATCTTCGCAGGAATCGCTTTCATTCTTCTCAAACCGACAGTGAGGCTATTGACGCGTGGTGAGATGGCATTCCTGTGTCATGGATGGCTCCCAATAGCCGACGCATTGCCTACTGCTGCACCACGTCGAGTCCAGTAGCGCTCGGAAGACGTGATTCATCCTGACGACGAAAACAACCCTCATCACTTTTGAGTTGCTGTGGCGCGTAGTTAGACGACCCTCGTGATGTTTATCGGTTCTAGCTCCATCGTGCTTTGACTCTTCAATCTCGCTACAACCGGCACACCAGTCGGAACGCACATCCAGCTAATGCATCAGCGCCTCCTGGCCTGGCGCGGTGCATGGATCCCGACTCCAACAACAGGCTCGTGCGGATCCAAGCCGACAACGTTCAGCCCAGGAGGACGGAACCATGATCTCTCTCAGGTGGGCACGGGAGCACGGGTCGCACAGGCGAATATGAAAATCGGGAGTGCCCACCTTACTCCTCCCATTTCAGTGATCAGATATAATGGCTTTCGAAAAGCACGTCGTTTCCTACAAACAGAGATCATCTCTTGCCATTGTGCTTTCACCTCCCATTCCTTTGAGGCCCTTTTCTTCTATCACCGCTGTTAGTCACCCATACGCCATGTTCGACCACGACAAAGAGAAAGACTCCGGTCTACCTTTCCATGAGCCTTCCACAGCACCTCCCTCGGAAGACCGAAGAAAGCATCACTTCCTACGGACCGAGGCCACAGCCTTCTTGGGAGAGCTCATTGGCACCTTCATGTTCCTTTCCTTGGCCTTCACTGGTACTCAGATCGCACTCAACGCTGCCGGCACCAACGACTTGACCGCAAGCTCAAACCCCATACCGGATGTGGGAAAGCTCTTGTACATCGCCTTCGCCTTCGGTATCTCTCTCGCCATCAACGTCGCCATCTTCGCCGACATCAGTGGCGGTAAATTCAACCCAGCAGTAAGTTTAGCCACGCAGTCTGTGTTCGTATGACCCCGGCACTTGGGTAACACCATATGCAACATCGGGAACATACACGGCCAGAATACAAATGCAGTGTAACAGACGCTAACGCGGTCCTTGACAGGTTACTGCCGCCTTATGGCTCACACGAAAGATCCACTGGCACCGTGCGCTTCAAACCATCATAGCGCAAATGATTGCTGCCATAGCCGCAGCAGGCTTCGTCTCCGGTCTTTTGCCTGGCGAACTCACCATCGACACCAAGCTCGACGCATCCATCTCCGTAACACGGGGTCTATTTCTGGAAGCTTTCGTCACCGCGCAACTGGTCCTCAGCATCCTCATGCTCGAAGCCGGGTCAGCGAAACCAATGTACATCGGGATGTCGCTCTTCATCGCAGAGATATGCAGTGTCTACTTCACCGGTGGCAGCTTGAACCCAGCACGCAGTTTCGGTCCCGCGGTCGTCGTTGGTTTTACTAGCTACCACTGGATATACTGGCTAGGGCCAATGTTAGGCGCAGCGGTAGCGAGTGGAGCTTATGCACTTATCAACTTTGTGCGGCGGGAGCAGATATAACATATCGCAGCAGGACGACGTAATGAACAAACTATCTTTCTCTTTGTTGGCTGGCACAGCAGTTTTGGGGTCGATGCAAGTCATCGGGTTTTGAGTCCCACGGGTGGGACGGACTATGTGGGCACAGCTTGCTCTCTCCTTTGTCACTTGACTTCTTGGACTACTCTCTAGCCGAAGTGACGGCTCTGGTATCTCTTTATTAATTAACATGACATTCTGTTACCTTCTAAAATCGCCGCGATGCAGTTCTACACATGGTGAAGTAGAGAATACCTTGAAGATATCTCGTTGGAATGGTAGCAAAGTCCGACACTGCTCGCTCACTCTTGAGCTCATTCCATGGGTACCCATCACTCCGGGAAAGTATATGTACTATGTTCTCAGTTTCAAGTAGCTCTCTCTGCCCACAAGATATACAAACAATTACTCAAGTTGCTTTGAACTATAATCGCTCAAAGTTACAGACGCGGACACCATATCATGGAGACTAAAACGAATAACCAACAGCGCTCACCATTTTTGCGTCTACCTGGGGAACTAAGAAACGCCGTGTACGCGTATATCTTCGGCATCAACGACATAGTAGTCGTCCGGCGACATCTACTAAGCATCCATCCACATCAACCCACCATCGGTCAGTGTATCCATGTCCTTGGGATCTGTCGCCAAATTCGGGCTGAAGCCACAGCGTTCCTCTATTCCAAATCCAGGATATCAGTAGACGAGGTTGCGGATCTGAGAAGGCTCGCTACTCTCACTGGTCATGAAGCCATAGTGCATATCATCATCCCTTGGAGAACGGCTTGGACGTTGGTGTTGTCGAACAACAGATCTTCCGGACTTCCGGATTTGGGGTCACAGCGCAATGCTATATTTCCTTCGTTCAAGGGGCTTAGGAGGGTGTCGATTACGCCCCAGTACCACCAGGTCGGTTCGAGGGACGTGTTCCTGGCTATACGAGAGTCATTCAATGATCATGAGCTAGAATTTGTTTGGTGGCAGGAATCGATACACTGAGATGGATACGAGGGTTTTTGAAGTGTAAGCTTGAAGTATTTGGGTGATGCGCAAAGGTATACGACATATTGTATTATATTCGAACAACCGAATGCCGTGGTCGCTCTTTCACTCACCTTCATCTGATCAGTTGGCCCAAGCGCATTCGCTAGCGTGTTGAAGACCTTTCGATTACCTTTCAGCATCAGCTCGCACACTACCTTACTTACGATACTCCCATCCAATACACTCATATATCGACAGCGATGGAGCGCGAAGCCATGTAAGCGACACCTCACAACTATATGTAAGCAAAATTACTGACAGGACTACTAGCACTACCAATAACCAGATGCGGTCTCCCCTCCTCCGGCTTCCCGGTGAGATTCGAAATCGCATCTACGAGTTTGTGTCTTACGGGGAGAACACTACCCGGAATGACCTTCTCGAGACATGCAAGCAGATCAGGCACGAGGCTTTGCCAATCTACTACTCTCACATCAGCCTCTTATTCTACGATTTCGGGGAGATAGAGGACGGGGTGAAGAGAACAAAGCCACAACTACTGGCCCGAGTGAAGTCAATCCGCACAAGCGCCCAACCAACGAAGGAAATGGCGTGGAGTGTTCTCTCATCCTCTAAATTCTGGACCAGCTCCTACATCAAATACGCGGGTTATTTGCCGGGACTGAAATACTGGCACGTATACGGTTATCTCTGGCTAGAGAGTCAGCAAGATGTGGTGAAAGGGATCAGACAGTTGATGGGTCGCGATGTGGAGGTCACGTTTGATACCACGGAGTGATTGTCAAAAGTTGTTCGGGTTTCACGGCGCCTTCGTGTTCTTCGACATGACTGTTCCGTTGTAGAAGGCCTGGCGGGGTGTTATAGCCCGAAATAGCGGAGTGAGTGCGGAGGGTAGGCGAGGTAGCCACGTGCACTAGCGCGACCTTGTACCATAGGTAACAACCACCCAGTCACACCTGACAACCTCTTTCTCTTTCCCACTCCAGTCACAACAAACAAATTCTTCGACTGATTTCATTACTGCGCAAGCTCATTCGTGAAGCGACAATGGATTTCGACAGCATGTAAGAGACAGCGACAGTGAAGTGTCGACTGCAAACTGACAAATTACAACAGCGCCGCTGCGAACCAGCGCGACTCACCTCTTCTGCGCCTCCCGGCCGAGCTACGAAACAGAATATACCTGTATATCTTCGATGATAATGAGATATACCTCGTTCATCACCGCCATGACCGTCGAGTCCCTCTCGGCTCGCCTTACCCAATGAGCTTAGCGCAGAGCTGCACTCAGTGTCGTTATGAAGCCCTTCCTTACTTCTGGAAACACACTATCTTCAATCTAATATACGACCGTCTCAGCACTTTTGTACAAGATAAGAGCCGAGATCTACGCGATCAGATGGAGGTTGTCCACATCAGTTATGGCGCTACTTGGGATCTTCAGGTATGCTTGCGTGGTCATAAAGGGGCTTTTACCAAGGTACAGAAGGTCATCATGGCATGGGGGCATTCTCGGAACCATACAGATGAGGAAGTGACAGAGGCCGTGAAGGACACTTTTGGGAAGGACGCTGAACTTGTTTACCTTGACTTCTTTGGCAATGTCACTAGGTGACTGAGCGAAGAAGCGCAAGAAAGACCTTGAACAAGTTCATTGTAGATATTATGGCGGCACATCCAAGGGCTAACTATACCCTCAAGAGCTAAAAGTAGTTCTCATCAAGCAGACTCAACATCAACAGTATACGTCCTATCATGATAAATTCTCTTATCGTTCATCGGCGCCGTGCTCTTATCCGAAGCGCCATCGTGTATCCTCTCCCAAGCATCCTGATCGCGCCCATGATGCACAGCCGACAAGCTGAAACCATGATCCGAGGGGCCGTGGTAGCTGTCTCCTCCCCTTTGTCGGCGCGAGCGGCCGCCTGCAGTGATGGTTGTTGCTACGCGGTGCTTGCTGTTCGGATCGGTGCTGTTGTCGCGTTCGTTCTGGAAGTAGTGGCGCAGGGCTGGGAGGGAGGAGGCGAAGCATCCGATGCCTGTTTCGACGTTCGAGCAGAGGACGATGTGGGCGACCCAGAAGGGGAGGTTGGTCTGGGACTCGAATTTGTTGACGAAGGGGATGCGTATCATTGTGATGATTGAGGCGCTGGTGTTGTTAGTGAATGTTCGTACTGTCTCGATGATGGATGGCTTACAGTGAGGCGAACGATAGGAGCCCGAATGCTTGGAGCTTGGATTGTCTCTTCATCTGGGTGTTCCACAGGATGATAGCCGGTACAACAACGAGGGCCATGTCGGTCAAGATTGTCGATACTGTCGCAGTGTGCGCAATGATGAGAAATGTCTCCGCAGAAGCGCACTCTCCGTCGCCACTCATGATCAATGTCGGAGTCCCTGTAGATATTAGTCAGTCTTGTCCGACCTGTCCATCGCAAACTGGGCATACTCACACAAAGCGCGCACCGGCTGGCAGTAGGCCAGCGTTCCAACAAACGTAACGAGGAAAGACGCCCAGGTGACGGCTAGCAGAACCCAGACGGTAATTCTCATAGGCTTCTTGATCGACGCAATTCGCCTAATCGTGATGCACACTGACGATTTGACAGTCGCAAGTGCAACAACGTAGACCAAAATCCAGATGAGGTAGTACTTGATAGCTTCAGACTGCTGCCACGCATTGAGGTCCTCGTTCATTCTACCGAGGCCAGCGAGGCAGCCATAGATAGCAAGGCCTGTAACAGGGATGTACGCGATCTTCGAGGTTACGTTAGTATAGCCCTAGTCGCAGACTCCTGGTGATAGACATACCGTGCCAACAACCATGAACGCATCTTCCAAGCCGAATATCCTTTTCTTGATCCGAATGTAAGTTCGCAACGCTACGGTAACGATAGAAAGGGCGAAGAAGATGGATGATATGACGATGATGGCAAGAGGTAGACCATCCGGTGCAATCAGCCTCGCAGAAGGATCGACATCGTTCATGGGCGCCGCCATTGTGGATTCAAGACGAATATGATGAGCAAAGCCACAGACAAAGTATGTGCCTGCATCTCAAGGAACCTGCTATTACTTTATACGACCCCGCCGACATTGACCGCACCAGCTCCTACCCAGTTGAAGTGGATCATAACAAATAACTACCAAGGCCTTCGACTCAGTCTGATGCACCCGTTCCTCTTTCGCGCCGTTACCATCCTCACATTTCCCTGCTCGGAAACGGTTGTGACAGCCGCGAACTCGACTCGCTGCAGGGTCTGGTGCGTCATCTTCGCACCGTGCCCACGTGTAGCGGGAGGAAACATGCAGCCGCTGCGACCAAGGCGACGAAAATCCTGCTAGAAAGGAGAGCTATGCGTGCTATGTAAGTAATCTGACACGTTTTGTATCCATACAGCGACGCCATGGTGATGGTACCGAAAAACTAGCGGAGCGATCTCCCGCGCCGGCGATCAGGATGCCGGGTCTAGATGGTGGCTAGTGACCGCTAGTCGTGTCTCGAGACGGGAACCTGACTTTCCAGGTCGAATCGAGAGGTTGAAGAGCAAGTGAACCGAGGAGAAGGTCCATTTTTTGCAGCGCTGGTTCAGATCGTGGGTTCGGGGCGAGGAGATGCTGCGGTAGAAGTTCACAAAACGGACGGAAGAAACCGAGCTGCTGCGCTATTGTCTTCGTTAGTACAACAACTAATGTTTACAAGAATCTCAGGTAAGGTAGACTTCTCTACATGGGTGTGAGAGTGCAAGCCCGCTCGCCTGGAGGCACTGCTGTTCTTCACTTCATGGAGATAACAAAATGTGAGACGATGATTTTGTACGATGATGCCTTGCGGTCAACTAATTGCGCACGCACTCAACTCCATTGTGTTCTTTGTTGTATGCAAGCTGATCCAACCGAGTATCGCTAGTCTCCGACGGGTCCGATCGCTTGTTTCCAGAATGCGGCAGCTAGAACGCATTCAATTCAAGCCATGTCATGATGCTTGTGCGGCCATGCTCGCTGAAGTCCCCTACCATTCTTGGTCACAGCCGAAGTCCCTGTCTATGCAATCAACTTCGACGCCGTTGACGCGAATACAGCGCAGTATAGCGTCCTCTTTCTCGTTCTTTGGTCTGAAGAAGAAACCAGTCACATCAAGCTTCCGTAACAGAGGGAAATCCGCCAAGGGGTACGAGACTGGTAGTGTGGAGTTTAAGACAGTTACGTCGAAGACAAGACCCGCATGTACAAAGAGAGACGTGATACGAGCGCAGTTCGACACTCCCATGATTGATGCGACCTTGGAGAATGAATAGACACCTACAGGGTCTATCGTACACTCATTCCAGAAGATAGAGGTAGCTTCGTGGCGAATCTGCTGGCAGGTCGCGAGTGCGTGGATTGGGCTGTCGTTCCGGCGGGCCACCCGGCGGGCCACCCGGCCGGTCCGGTCTGGGTCTGTAACCACTACTTCTGCATCGAAGAAGACGTACTCGTAGATACGGTTGCGAATCTCTCCAGGAAGGCGTAGGAGAGGGGAGATGTGCTGGTTGCTGCGCGTGCTGACATTGTTAATAACGATACACCCACGGGTCTTGCCTACTTACATCTCATTGGCGTCGCGAGGCGCGGATAGGATCGCGTGATCCTTCGCGTCGATGACCATGTTGCGCTTGTAGAGGCTGGTCGCCACCATCGTGATGTTGAAATGATTCGCCTGCGTGAATTGCGACTGGAAGTGAGAGTAGTAAACAAAGTGGCCAGCAAACACTCTTTTGGTACTAGCTCGACGCTAACCACCACGGTCGTGGCAGGCTCCTCTCACCACTGCAGAAAGAGGAAGCGACAAAGCCGATGGCTCATCGCCGGTAAACTCTTTAGATTTGGGACATGAGTAATGTCATGTCTAGGTACAAAAGCCCACGCAGTCTACTTGCAATAGCTTTGAGCACCATGGTACTGCGATGACCCGGAGGCGACCCAGAGACGACGAGCCAACCACACCTCCCGCATTTCATACAACTCATACGCGAGGAGATACTCTACCAAAGAGAGAAGTATCGCATATCCAAGAACCTCGATAGCTCTGAACAGCGTGGAAACAAGAGAACCTTCGGCAAACGATTGAATGAAACCCAAAAGATTGAACTTGATAGATGGGAAATTGATCTCCATGTTTTCGTGAGGTAGTATGGAAAGATTGACGTAAGGCGAGGGGAATTGCGACCGCAGCGTACCTAAGTTGTTGCCTGTTCGCCAAAGGGTCAACCTTGGTACAGTGTCTCGCTAAATCGCAGCAGAACAGCAATACGTTGCAAAAGCTGCCGAATAATTGATGAACAGGTGTTACAAGCTGCTGCCTCTCTTACTCTTTCGACTCTTCCCCACTACGACGACACCCACCGCTTCAACCTACCGTGTCACCACGCCAGCAACGACATAGCCACCCTTCTACGCCTCACGCTCTCCCGCGAACACCACAGATTTGCTCTCGCCATGCTGTCGCAAATGCGCAACCGCATCCAATCATGGTGGCAGCAGATACCCTTGCCAACAACCACAGCGACACCCAGTTTCCTGACATGGCATGATTATGATCGAGGGTATTGGATGCCCTCAGTCAGCGGCAAATATTCTCAGCCTGGCATCAAGCACCAATGGGCGGGCTCATTCCGCCTCGTAAGCTGGAACGTGAACGCAGATGCACCGTTACCAAAGTCTCGTATGTCCGCACTACTGCAGGTCATCAAAACCACAGGAGCTGCAGATGTTGTTTTCCTGCAAGAAGTATCAACAGAAGGCCTTGCAGCCCTGCTTGAAGATTCCTGGATACAGCAAAACTGGTACATAAGCGATGTCGATACCTCGGCTTTCGGAAATCAAAAGTTCATCAGCATCACCCTGGTGTCCAGGTTGTGGGTGACGACTGATGGTATCCAGCTAGGCGCCATCTGGAGAGTCGCATTACCTAGTCGTTTTGGACGCGACGCGCTGTATTGCGATCTGATCCTTAACTCTTCGAGCAAGCAAACGTCAGGGAAAGAGCCTACACGCGTTCGCCTGATCAACGTCCACCTGGATTCGTTGCCAATCAATCCGTCGATGAGGCCGCATCAAGTCTCCATCTGCGCTTCATACCTCGGGGCTGCTGGTCGTGGGATCATCGCCGGCGACTTCAATTGCATTCTTCCGGAAGATGACGACCTTGTCAGTGATAACGGTCTTGCGGATGCGTGGGCAGAGCTTCATCCGAATGATACAGGCCATACTTGGGGCGTGTACGGTGAACAGTCTTTCCCACCAAATCGGTTGGACAAAGTTGCTCTGTTTAACCTCAACCCTTCAGCCATGCGCGTCCTGCAAACGAGCGAAATAGAATCCTACGGCGCAGAGATGTCAGCCGACGTAGCAGGACGGGGGCCAGATGCGCATTTCAGCGATCATTTGGGTCTTTGGTGTGACATTGCGTGGGCGGAAGACCGACCAAACCAGAAACCACACGGCAATTCGACTGCACCCTAAATCATCGGAGTTTCAAAAACTGCGGACATGCAGTATGCTTAGCATGCATCCCTCTCCTACTCGCGACCGTCGGCCGACGGTGGCCCTCCAACACCGCCGACGCCCGTGAAATTTCGGGGTCGGCCGCCCGACATGCGACACCACCGTCAGACCAAGAGCTCAACATTGCCCAGACAGGCAACACACGTCGAAAACCATCGAAACCCTTCGGCATTGCGGTGCGACAGGCCCGACAGCCATCGGGGCGCCGGATTTGATGACGATGCGATGCCCCGTCTTGTCTGCGACTAGAAAGACGGGGCGATTTCCTGGATGTTGCTTGGCGAGACCGGCGGGTTTTGGGAAGGGAGGACCGAGACCGAGATCGAGGGCGCGTAGGGGCAGGTTCGACACGTGATCATTGACGGGTGACACGGTCAGTGTCGGCATCGCATCGCCGCCTTGGATATCTTCAAGGCTGACTTCATTTCACGATGCTGGAGCACCTTGGAAGCTGGAAGACTGCGCGATGCCGACACCCCAGGCATTGTCGGTTATCGCACGCTAGCCGATAAGACCGCCGACTTCACCGAAGCAGGAGGCCTTTGATCGATGCCGCAACGAGAAACGATCTGGATGTAGTTTTGCGAATATCAAACACGCGGGAGGGGATGAAGATCGCGTGAAAGTCTCTGTGAAGAAGTTCGGCTTGTATCTAGGTATGATCTTCAACCGTTTTTATTTCCATCTTGGTCACACAGCTCGGCACGTGATCATCAGAGACATCGCAATCGCACCCTTCTCACTCCGCAGCCTTTCAATAAGCTACATGACAGTCATGCAATCCATCTTCAACAGCTTTCCAATCGTTATCTCGAGGCCGTAGGCCGTTACAGCTGCTCGTTCCAGTCCGCCTTGTCCAATGAGAAGTGAAGCTGACCGATCCGGCTAGACTGAGGTCCCTGCATGCAGGTCAGGTCCCGCAGACGCAGGGTCCAACCGGTCGTCGGCGAGAAGGAAAGTCTGGGGTCTCTTGACACACCTTCGCGCTCGCTATCGTCAGAATGCAGTACTAGACTTGTCAAAGAACACATTTGATCATACACTAGATAACAGAAATCAACTCCAACCCCCTACGTCGACGCTGGAAAAAAGCCAGGAGCTGGAAACCCACAGCGATCTGACATGCTTGAACCTCCACCGCCTTCTCCACGCGACCTCAGAATAGCCGAACCTCGAGCATGGGCCATGGATCTATTCCCCGGCTCGGCTTCCCATCTTGGATGACACGAACGTGTGGTTGGTCGGATTGGTTGGAAAGCACCGCCTCGCCTCGTCTTATCAGCTAATCCGGGGGACTGCCATGAAGCATATCGGCGTATCTGCAACGAGCCGTCGGCCCAAGCTCCTGGTAAGAGTCAGAAGTGATGAGCATAAAGACACGGTGATATCCCTGGGTTTGAACGTTGGAACTGAAGCTACCTGCATTATTATAACAGTGGACTTGAAGTACAACATATCGAGAAAGCACAAGCACATCTCCAAGACCTACAATCGGAATTCCCTTCTTAGAAGCAACACACCAAAAGGTGAGTACCAAGTAAACAATAGATCTTGCATACAGCTCCGTTGGAGCCACGACTACAATGCAGGGTCTAGAATCCACACTCCATGTTCCGCGGAATACAACCCACGAACGCAAGGGAGATCTACAGGGGAAGAAGCGGTCAGCTAACGTGTATATGTATAGCATCGTTACAAATAACAACAACTACCCAGGCCAGCATCGCTGCTCGAGAAAGCATACCCAAGCACAAACACCTATCCGACCAATTCCTACCATAATAACCAAGTGCGATATTCAAGATGTGCTCATACACATACTCGTGGTATTACTGTAACCACGACTACTACATCTGGTAGGCCCTTCCTTCTCCTCCTACCCCAATCTCGAACTCCAATCTAACACCTCCCAGGGCCAACAGCATCGAAGTCTGCTCCTCGCGCCTCCTCTCGGGCTACTCCTACGACGCCTGGTCCATCGATATGTGCTCCAAGATGAAGATCGAATGCGGCGGCTTCTCGAATTACTACTGCACTGATTGTTCGGAAGATGTGGCGTTGGAGTTTGAGTTGGATGAACTGTAGATGCGTGGATTGGATGGATGCGCTTCACGTTTCCTTTCGGTTGACGGGGAAGACAAGTGAGTATGATAATGCAGGGTGAGTGAATGTGTGGAGTTGAGTGGATTGCGCGGAGACGGATTCCACGTCCGATAGCACATGGCATGGAGCTGGCTTGTCCTGCAGGGCGACTGCGCGTAGCGATGTGACAGCACGCGTGCGCGTTTGAAGTTATTGGTCGGATGAGGCTCACCGCCTTGTTGATGCACGTCCTGTACCGTCAGCCTCGTGCATGCTGCATGCTGCATGAATCCCACGCGGTACTTTCCTTTTCACGTTTTCGGCCTGTGTTGGACGCGCTATATCTTTTCATTATATGATTTGGCTTATCGGCGCACGCAGGCGCATTCACCGGCTTCTAAGCCTTGTTCGAGATGGGGTTTCTTGGGATAGGCGTTATGAGAGACCTTGGTCGATTTGTTGGTTACTGCTATTATAAGCTTGATTGCAGCATACTGATCGCATGCTGTATAGCATTGACCCAAATTTCCATCTGCCTTGTCCCTCCCTGTAATGTGACATCCAGTCCTCACTCTGTCAGACTATCTTCTGCCGTCTTCGGGCTGACACCGTATCCCTCCTCTAGTGTCCGCTTGACCTGCTCAGCTCGCCTCCTTGCATCAATGTACATCATGAACTCCTGGTAGGTCCTTGGCATGACCCTAATGTTCTTCGGTACCGTGAACGTGTAGTTGAACTGCCCTGTCGGCTTGCTGTGGCCATGCTCCACATCTCGCACCTTTGAGTCAATCCTAATCTGCACTCGTGTATATTCGGCTTGATCGTCGACCTTTTCGTCCGGCGCGCCGATCAGCGGCGGGTCTGTGTATACGACTGTGGCCGTGAGGTATAGTATGCTGCCGACAGGCACTGGGTTTTGGAAGGTGGAAGGATCGAGGGAGACGAAGGTCGGGCGAGCGTGTGCGAAGGCTGCGGCGGCGGTGAAAGCGAGCTCGAAGGTCTGCTTGAGGAGGAAGCCACCGAAAATCATGAAATGATGTCGGTTGCGGTATTGCGGCTGCATGATCGTCGCGGTCTGAAGACGCGTCGCATCCATAAAGACAACGTTATCGGGTTTGCGTAGGTCATCGTAGGGGTCTGCGATTGTTAGTTGGGCGATGAGTAGTGGTAGCGATAGCACTAACCATGATACTGCAACTGCTTTTGCCAGAAGGCGTGTATGAGGTCGCTCTCGAGATCGTTCGGCGTATGCTTGAGCAAAGAGGTGTCTCGGCGCTCCTTTCGCACTTTGGAATTACGCTCGCCCAGAGCATACAGGCGTTTCTCTTCGGGCGTCTCGACGATTAGAGGATTGACGTTTACGGGCCTGCGGACCAGTTAGCTGCCAGAATCCTTACCCACTACAATTCGGCTGTACTTCTTTGTGCCAGGATCCAGAGAGACCATGGTGAAGGTGCAGTTGATCAAAACGTCCTCGTCTTTGGCCTGTTCGCCTTCCTTAGGCGCTTTGGCAACCTGCATAGTGATCTCCAAACTGCTTCTGCCAGTCGCATAGGTCACGCGGCCAGATAGTTTTAGATCACATATCTCCGTCAGTGGGGAGTGAATGGTAATGCGGTCGCAGCTAGCCGTAACAGTAGTCACATCGTCTCCGGTATGCTTGTACCTGTTGTAGCATTCAGACCAGGTCAGCTACTACGCGTAGCTGTTGAACGCTTACGCAATGATGCCGGAGAGAGCATCGAGATCCATGAAGATGGTTCCGAGCCGTATATGCCCTGAGGCGTTAAGATACGTGTCGAGGATCCATGGGTCCTGAGCCAGCGGGAGTACAACCGAATGGTAGCTCTCGCTCATACGTTTCCCTGTCAGCTTGCGATCTTTGGGTACTTCGGGCTTTCCTGAAGGCTCCGTAGGTTGGTTTCCCTCTGACTGCTGTTGGCGCAAGGCTTCTATCCATGGGGTGCGCACGCGCATCGACGTGAGCTCTCGAAATACGCCATCGGTGCGTCGCGAGGGGCTGCAATGAAGATGTCTTCGACCAATTGAGCCCGCGACTGCTACCGGAGACCTGCAAATGGTGTTTTGGGGCAATGCAGCTTGACTGACGCGCCGAAGCGCGTTGGTGGTGAGGCTCCTCATGTTGCGACGCGAGGTGGAGGTTGCAGGAGCCGCGAGCCCGCGAGGAAGCAACAACCCTCAGGGTGCTTGCCGAACCCATCTCTTGGCACCGATAGCGATGCATCACAATCTCAGACCCCGCCGCTCCACCAATCTCTGCAATTCTCATGTCGCTGCCTTCGCCTCCTCCACAGACCGGAGTCTGGTTGGATGATAATGTCGAGATCAATTGAGCTCGGGCGCGCAGTGCTCAGCTCGCCTGCCACTGATCACGAGCTTTGGCTCACAACATTGATCACCATCTCACCAAAACAGGATGCGGCTTACCTCCAGCAGCTAACATCAGCCGAATATCTAGACGCGTTGACGTCTGGAACCGTATGGGTGAGCCGTGGACATGACATGCACATTGACATGACGCTCAGTCTACGCGATGAGCTCTTGCCTAATAAGCAGTTGCAAGACCTCGCAAATGCGGTTCTTGATGCGCCAGTAAGTATACTCGCTCTTGTTTGGGGTGGATGTTGACAAAGTACAGGTTTGGGATCAGTTGACGTTGGAGCCAACGCATCGAACAGATATCGCAATGGACCCCGGGACAATACGTCTGGACATCAACCACTCCTCAGTCACGAGCATGCAAGAAGGAAAGAAGCGTCACCGACTCTTCTCGGATGTTCCAGCGGTAGACATTAAACCGCCCAAAGGAATCGCGTCAGTCTCACTCCTGTCCATACGCATTTGCATGGACATTCTGGAAGCAAGCCCGCGTAGGAGGCCCGCAGTGAAACGAACGACTTCATCCCCGGGTGAGCGAAAAGTAGCGACTCTAGAAGAAGAGGACTCTGATGCACTTTTGTACGAGATTGAACTCGAGGACTTATCGCCTGCTGGACACATTAACAGCACGTCAACTGCTCCGAGGGCTTCTGCGCACAGGAAACGAAAACGACCAGCTACAGAGGGTGTGGTATCGACTCAATCAGTATCACTTGAACAGGCCGAAACATCGAAACGAAGGCGCAATCGACCGACAAACGATTCTTCGGTGCGGCGAAAGTCCCGCACGATTTCTAAATTGCCAGAACAGATAGAGATCGCCAGCATGGTCGATGGAGCGTTGCGTTTGTCGATTTCTGGTACTCTCAGCAAGGCCCCGATTGGACTGAAGGCCAAAGCGAGCACTTTCCGCCTAGGGTTAGCCGATGTTGCTCCTGCGATATGGAAGACCGGATACATAGTCGTGAGAGAAAGATGTTTCCCATCCTATGTACAGTGCTAACTCATAAGCAGGCATTGTCCCAAAGAGCTCATCTCCTACCCACCATCGCTTGTTCCATCCGCCGAATCGGGGGTGTAAAGGCAGCATCCATCTCGTTAAGAGAAAAGATAAAGGACTTGAAGATGATGGCGCATCAAGCTCCGTCAGGTCGTTTAGATCCAACACTATCTGACACTGATTATGAGCCCACTAAAGCTGAGTCAGCCATCGCAAGCCATCTATGGTCACAGTCCCAACGAAGTTTTATGGATAAGCTCATGGCCCCGATCAAACCGTGTGTGGCGTCTATTATTCAACAAGCCCAGCCAGACTCTGACGACATGCTCGCGGATGAGGAACAAGCCTGGCAGCATACTCAGCCCACTACATCATTCCAGACTGACGGCCTGCACGAGTGTTTCGAAGATGAGTCGGCATTGACAGCGGGTCCCCAAGCGACCCAACAACAAGGGCGATCTCTTGACAGCCCAGGCTTGCTCTTCGATGTTCGCGATGATGACGACCTGCTCCTCGACTCGCATTCCCCAAATGCAACATCGGCCACAGCGTGTCCAACAAATGAACAGCTTCATACGCCCGGCAGCCCAGCTACATATCCGCTCTTTACACCTGACATGTATATTCAGCAGTCGGGTGCCTCATCAACCCAGACTTTACAGCATCCGTCGCAACAGCAGGCGAACGCCGAGCAAGAATTTTTACATCAAATGTCAGCTGAAGGTGACGTTGATCATACCGAGGATCTGCTGCTAGTCTCTTAGACACAAAGGGGTCGCACTTGGACTTCAGCTCACTAGCATCGTTGTTACAGGATAGAGTTTCGGCTGTGTAGATTTTCGGCCGAAGCGAGCTAACAGCCGTTTCATTGAGGAAGGGCAGTATCACGTGGTCGTTGGTATGGCTCCGAAGATATTTATATCCGGTTACTCTAATTGTGGCTTTTCATAGTCGGCTCTGTTATTGAGCCTCACGGAACTACCCTGCGTTCCTACATTCTGCCACCGGTTCTACGATAGCATATGGGTCGACTTTGGGAACAATTACCCCATGGGCCTATCTTCGACCATCCATCGAGTCAGCAATGGGGTGATGCATGTGTAGGTAGATCACAGCTTCCAGGAACGCCCTTCGAATAAACCGCCACTACCTCGCAACACGGAGCATGAATCGTGTACATATACGGTCATCCTCACTCCGGAGTCCTCCTACACTCTAGGGTGGCTTGGCTGGTGGCTAAAGCTGCACATCATCCTGCAGGTCCTGCGTTCAACAGGAAAAGGACCTGTACATCTCGAGTTGGTCCCTGACGGCGTGCGCCTCCACAGAACGATTTTTCAACTCCGATCCAACTGCCGTGGCGCGGACTCAAAGAAACTTCGACTACCAGAACCCCTTCTGCACCAGACAGACTGGTCTTGTTCGTATTTCCGGAGTGAACCGCGTGGCGTAAACAGGTCCGCCCAAACTTTCCTGTCACTCAACGTCGCCGATGTCCAATGATTCGCGTCCTCCACTGCCGAGGTTGCACTAAGCGAACCAAGTTTTGTTTCGGAATGCAAACACTCACGAAAGTTACCACATACTCAGCAGCCGGCAAAGC